GAAAACTTAACAGATTTAATGCTAAAGTAAAGATAACGTACAAAGCATCTATGTGACGGAAGAGTAGGCCTACAGAAAAGAACCACAAACAGGAAGAAATCAAGACGTAGGAGGTATTTTAGAAACTTTCATAAAGAAAATATTTTAAATAAATATGGAGCACCTACTATATGTCAGATAAATTTATTTCATCAATATTGAGTTTGAGGAATCAAGAAGAACCTTGGTATTTTCAGTAGGTGACTAGAAATGCTAAAAGAGATCACAGGTAGGCATAGTAAAGAGACTGATGTTGGGGGAGAAGACTGGAGAAAAAAGGACAGAGAACTCAAAGGAGCACTCACATTGAGGTCATGAAAAAAAGAACCATATCAGAGAAGGTTCTGAGTTTCTGGAATACAAAGCACTCTTATGGCACATACCTGTTAACAGCAGATTAGTTTCACAATTCAGAAAATAATAAATTTAGAAACAAATCAGATAATAAGATATAATACAGATGAAAAGAAAGACAACACGGATGAAATTATTATTAGATTAACAATGAATACTTAGAAAGAAAACTGAGTCACTAGTGTCAGAGGACAGTATAAGGCAGAGCAGCTGAGCTTGGAAGGAGGGCATTCTTACAGCAAAAAGAAAATCTAGGCATAAATAAAGAAAAAGCATCAAGTTAAAGATATCAAGTATTTATATCACATGGCCATTTATCTTTCTCAGTTAAGTAAAATAGTAATTACAAGGTTGAGAAATTTCAAAATTGTGTTTAAGAAAAAATAATACAGTTTGAAATTAACTGCTAGTGTGCAACAGTAACAAAAATGATTAGTGAAGATTCAAATGCTAATAGGGTCAGAGAGTAAGTATTACAAAAAGCATGGTATGCTTTAAGAAAATGAAAGCAAGCTGCACTTACTTAAAAAACACACATAGAACATTGGCAAGAAAATCAGATATTTCACACAGCAACTTTTTTACTGATATGTCCCCTAGAGCAAGGAATATAAAGGAAAGAATAAACAAATGGGATCTCATCAAAATAAAAAGCTTCTGCATGGCTAAAGAAAACAGTATTAAATTAGCAAGACAACCAACTGTATGGGAAAACATATTTGCCAATGATACCTCAGACAAAGGTTTAATCTCCAAAATACACAAAGAACTTACACGACTCCACTCTAGGAAGACATTGAACCCAATTAAAAAATGGGAAAAGGACTTGAACAGACACTTCTCCAAGGAGGACATACAGAACATCCAGAGACACAGGAAGAGATGCTCAATATCATTAGCTATCAGAGAGATGCAAATTAAAACCACGAGATACCACTTTACACCAGTCAGGATGGTTATCATAAACAAAAGCAACAAACAACAAATGTTGGAGAGGTTGTGGGGAAAAGGGGTCCTTAGTTCACTGTTGGTGGGACTGCAGACTGCTACAACCATTATGGAAAACAGTATGGAATTTTCTCAGAAAAATAAAAATCGACCTGCCTTTTGACCTAGCAATTCCACTGCTAGGATTATATCCTAAGAATCCTAAAACATCAATATCAAAGAACCTATGCACCACAATGTTCATAGCAGCACAATTTACAATAGCCAAGAGTTGGAAGCAACCTAGGTGCCCATCAGTAAATGAATGGATCCAAAAATTGTGGTACATATACACAATGGAATTCTATGCTGCAGAGAGAAAGAAGGAGCTACTACCCTTTGCAACAACATGGATGGAACTGGAAAGCATTATGCTGAGTGAAATAGGCCAGGTGCTGAAAGACAAATACCATATGATCTCACCTTTAACAGGAAGCTAAACAACAAAACAAACAAGTAAGCAGAAAAAAAAAAAACCCAAAAAACAAAGACACTGAAATAGAGAACAAGGGGATAGTGACCAGAGGGGAGAAGGAAGGGAAGTTAAGGGGAAAAAGGGGGGGGGATTTGGAGGAACAAATAGGAAGGACACAGGGACGAGAACTAAGGGGGGGAAGGAAATGGGAGGGAGGTGGGGAGCAAGGGGCAGGGGAGGCTGGGATGGGAAAAATAGACAAAAAACTGTACTTGAAAAATAACTAAATAAAATTAAAAAAAAAAACAAAAAAAAAAAAAAGAAAGAAAAACCAAAGACACTGAAATAGAGAACAGGGGGACAGTGCCCAGAGGGGTGAGGGAAGGGAAGTTAAGGGGAAAAATTTGGAGGAACAAATAGGAAGGACACAGGGACGAGAACTGAGGGAGTTGGAAATGGGGGTGAGGTGGGGAGCAAGGGGCAGGGGAGGCTGGGATGGGAGAAATAGACAAAAAAACTGTACTTGAAAAATAACTAAATAAAATTAATTTAAAAAAAACACACATAAATTACAAACACCTCATTTAGCCAAGAGAGTGGGCTAATAAAATACACTCTACCTATCAGTATTCCCCATCATCCAAGCCTACTTCCTTAAGCAAAAAAGTAAAAGTTTTAATTTAACCATTTTTATGTAAATGTTTTAGATTACACACTTACCTGTCTTAATTATAAACTTGAGTCTAATTTACTCTTAATATTGAATATCCATTGTTGTTGCACTGTAATACCTGCTGATGCTGTACTATACAGCATACAACTCTATCTTCTTTAGAGCTCTTCTAGGTCCTTTCTAGCCATCAAGATAGAAAGCAACTACGTGTACAATTTATGTTTAGCCTTACTACATCAAAAACTGGACTGCTTTAGCAACTTACTTCTAGTTTGCTTTCTGCAATCCAACTTCTTTAACTTTTCTAATCATGGCTCTTTGTGATAGACATGAGAATTTCTCTTGGGGCATCACTAACTGACCTGTTACAGTATGGGAACAAATAAACTATAAAAACAGCTTAGTGAAGAGTAATTTAAAAAGATTATTTTCATGTTCTAGGTGGACAGCTCAGTTGATCATAGCATTATCCCAATCCACTAAGGATGTGGGTTTGATCCCTAGTCAGGGCACATACAAGAATCAACCAATGAATGCCTCAGTAACTGGAAGAACGAATCATTATCTCTGCCTCTTTCCTGCCTTCATCTCTCAAAAATAAGTAATTTAAAAATAAATTTTAAAAATTACTTTCTTGAGAGATATATTTTCACTAGGGGAAAGGAGGTTTACATAAGGCCAATTGAAAGCCACTGTGTTTTTAGGAATTACTCATTAGTTTTCAAACTTGTTTTCTAAATTATCCTTGTAATTTTCCACGGTGGTTTCTGTTCACTCTGAGAAAAAAAATACGTCTGAGCAGATTTATTTGGTGTTTGAATTTAATACAGAAAAAAGGAACAGAGGAATCATTCAAGAAACAACACTCTAGATATATTTGTAGTTAACAAAAAACTGATGAAATTATTTGTCAATGTTGAAACTTTTGCTACAGACCAAATCTGCTAAATGAATCTGAAGTTCAGCTCAGGTGTTCTATCACTCTGCTCATTTCACCATCTGCCTTTTCTAGCCAAATTTCTTCTACTTCCCTGTCTACACTCCAGCCAAGGTAAAGTATTTGTTGCGTTTTGAAGAATATGCAGCCTTACAATGCCCCCTCTCTTCTTCCTCCTCTGTGCAACAAAGTCTTAGCCTTCTTTCAATTTACCTTCCCAAACTACGACATACTTGCAGAACATTTAATCGTTTCCTGATGTTCCAATTTTCAGCAACTTGATGTACATTTTAAGAACCTCTTCCATTTTTTCCAGCGGTGCCTCCACATTTCTGGCCTCAAGAGTTTACCAACAAGTTGAACAGTACGAAATTTAAACTTGTATAACGAATAGGGCTGTACCTTACATTTTTCCAGATAATAGAAAATCTCGCACCAAAGTTCATTAACAGGTAAACAATGTACATTTTGTTGTATGAATAAGAAAAATTTTCCATTATCTCAATAAATGATCATTAAAGTAGGTAAATATAGGTTGTCAATGCAACTTTTCAATTAAAAAAAAAAAAACTAGTCTCCACATAGTCCTCCGCTTTCAACCTTGCAAAATGCGGTTTTATCCCTATTAAACTACGGTGGTGGTAACTTTTTTCCATAAAATTCAATTGTTTTTCATTAGATACTTGGGAAAGCAACTTTTGAAAAACAATCGCGTAAGGGACACTCTATCAACCATGAATCACTCTGCTTAAATTAAGGTAAGCAAGAAAGCGTTCTGTTTGCCTTGCGGAACCAAACTTCCCTGGCTGCCCGAGCCCAATGATTCCCTAAGAGACGGCGCAAGGACCTGAGCGGCGCCTCAGCTCAATTAAAATGCAAGGGAAGCAACAAGCTGTCACTGGGCCGCGCGACCAAGGCAGAAAGAAAGGTGGCGCTGCGAATGAACACCGGCGGCTGAACACCGGCAGCTCACCACCGACTCGCCAGGCAATGGCGTAGGGGAAGCAAGCACGCCCCCTCGCAAACACGCACCGTGTGCTGTCCAAGGCCCCCAAAGCCGCCACTGCCCAAGCCTGCTCCCCCTTATTGGCTGTCGCGGAATTTTCTCTTCAGACACAGCACTTAAGATGGCGGTTTCCTCACGCGGCTATCCTATGAATGGTGTTCAGCAGTAAGCCTCCAGCGGTCGCCATCTTGTCCCCGGTCCTTCACCCCACCCCTCGCCAATATTTACATAGGGAAAATTCGGCCTGCGGCCTTCAGCTCACGCCTGCAGCCTCAGCCATACAACCAGGCCTGGACCGTGCTTAGAGTCCAGGCCGACTGCGGCGCCGAGCCAAGCCCCTCTCGGTCTCTGGAGCCACCAGGCAACTGTCTCCCAACCCCCTCTCATTTACGAAGCGCGACACCACCACCATTCTGGAAAGCCGAGCTCCTCCCCAGGCCTAACTGCGGCCTCCTTGGGGCCGCTAGACGCCACGCGCTCAGCCGTCCTGACTATCGGGCAACAGCCCCTAGCAGGCCGCAGACCAGGCCAGAACCAGGCCCCTGCACGCGCGCTAGGCCCCGCAGCCACGGCGGCGCCCGCAACTCACCAAAACCTGGTACCGGCGGTTGGTGTCGGTGTTGGATAGTGTAGGCCGCCCTTTCTCAAGTCCTGGGCCGAATTTTGGCTGGCAGGGCGGGAGGAGGGAGGGAGAAAGGAAAGAGGAGGGGCTGAGCTCAGAGCCGACAGAAAAGGTACAGCTCCCGGCTGGGGCCTTCCGTCAGCACGTCACGTCACTGGCCGGCAGAGAGACTCAGGAAAATGCGGAAGGCTGGAAGTACCCCTTCCGCCTAGTGGGTTTTAGGGTCGCAACTCCAAACCGAGTAGCCGTCCGACGTTTCTGGAGACTACAATCTGTTTAAACGACTTTAATCCTCTGCTCTCCCGCCCGCTGCCAGACACGCGTTGCATTCCCTGCCTGATCATAGAGCCAGCGCTCCGCCTGGGCTGTCCTGGGCCCGTGGGCCTCGGTGGACGCCCCTGGCACTCCCGGGAGACCTGACTTCCCCTTCCTGGCCAAGGTGCCTATTCAAATTATTTACAGGTGCATGGATGCTTTCTCATAATAAATGTGTTTCCTTCATTACTTGGCTGGCAAAGATAAGTTTAGCAACCTGGTCAGTCCCCTGCTGTCGTGTGTATATATTTCAGATATATATATATTTGAAATAAAATGAAAGTAGGCTTGCCAGTGCAAGTGGATATGTATCAAAGCGGAGGGAATCTAGAGCAACTGCAAAACCGTGGATTTTAAAACTAATGTCAGAGAACCTGATTTGTATGGGGAAAAGACCGCACTTTCAGTGTGCTTTCACACATTTCAATGTAAAAAAATTTTAATATGTAGTTATATATAGCTTGTGCTTCAAGAGTTGAGACCTTGAAGACATATGAAGTATGTCTTGTGTAATTTTTTCATAAATAACTTTTTACTTACATTAATATAAATGGAATTAGGTACGATGTGTGTTTGTATGTAACAAGTGCTTTGAAATTTAAAGATACTTTAGAGAGAAAGGGAAAAAAATGTATTTGACTAAGAAGATAACAACTATCTGTCAGGATGGGCACGGTAGGACAAAATGGCGGCTGAACTACAACCAGGAAAAGACAGGTGACATCAAACCAGGGAGCCCAAACAGTGGGGTTTCCCAAAACAGATATCTGCATAGCAACCTAAGCCTGAGGAGAACCACCACTGATATAGTGCCACTTTGTTCAAAGGGGGCCAGTCCCCAGCTCTCACAAAGAGAGCCAACCAAAATAAAACCTTGCCACATTCCCTGCTTGGGTGCAACTTCTTCAGCCCCTCTTTGTGGACTAGAGAACCTTGCCTAGGAACTCAAACCCTAGTAAAGCTTTATACTGCTTAACTCTGTGGCTGATTGGCATTTCTTCTTCAGCAGAGCCTAAGAAAACCTTTCATTATCAACTCCCAAAACTTTATTTGCATATTCATTATTTTACATTCCCATGCTATGTTTTCATACTGAATTTGGTACTCAAAATATGTAGTATTCCTCTACATTGGTATGTGCTGTTCTGTACTTCTTAAGTAAGAACATCTGTTTACGTTCTTAAGATAAGATGTCTTCACAGATAAATGAAGACGTTCTTAAACAATAGAATACAAAAATTGTAACATCAATACTACATCAGTACAAAAATATATGTAAGTTTTTTTTAATATGTTTTAAATAGGACAGTGTCTCAAGGTCTAAATGTCAATACTAATGATTTTTACTAAAGACTTGGAAGACTCAAGGTACTGAGCAGCAGTTAGCTGAGCAATGAACCAGTTTCCACAGTGTCCTGCTGACAATACACTCTTCTATAAAACCCATGGGAATCAAGCCTTAGATCCACCACACATGAATAAATTAGTGTCTCCCGACAAGGACTCAGATCTTGCTGATACTGCTGATACTGCAAAGGAAAGCTGGACCTACACTGTTGAAGGAGATTTGAAATTCCTCTATCAGGACAATGGTTCCCAAAGCTAAGTAACAGTTTATTTTATTTTTTTTCCTTCTTTTTTCCCTGCATTTTCCAGACAGTGTCTTCCTCAGCAAGTTTATTCTCCTGTGGTAGGTTGCTACCCAAAGCCCTGTTCTGAGTTAGGTTGTATAGATCCTTCAGTCACTCTAGTTTCTGACTCATTACTAAACACTTGATTGTCTACACAATAGGTCTTACTTTGCAAGTCCATCTGCAATGCTGTCTCTTGAAAAATGAAGCAGTCTACAAGCCTTCCTTGTTTAGCAGTGCCATCCTTGAGACACTGCGTATGACATCTTGTGATGACAGCAGTCATTCATCCCTAGTTTAAAGGTTTCCTTCTGTTGCTGACCCTTCCCTTCCACTGTTAGATAGTAAGAATCTTTGCAACTGGGGGTAAGTAAGACTATGTTCTTTGATATCAGGAAATAACCATAGAATTATGAGGCCTTCGTCCGTGTATCCTAAGATTACAAGAGTCTAGAGTTTTGAAGTTGGGTTGATTATTGTAAAATAGAGTGCCAGGGGATTCTCTACCCATTGGCCAAGATGGTGACGGGAGAGGTTCTTAAATGGAGCATGTCAAAAGTTAGAAAGATGAATAGATAGAACCTCAGTACATGCCAAAAGTTAAAAAGATAAAAACATAAGTCCTAAACATGCACTAAGCTAGAATCGACAGGACCAAGTGAGCTAAAAACAATTATAAAAAGATGAATAAATAGGGCCCCAAGCACACTAGAAAAGTAGAAAGACAATTGGATTAAAAAAAGTCCTTGCCTCTCTACCTTTCTAGGAATTGTGTGCTTGAGCAGGAAGATTGAGATGGCCTTTGTCATGTGAGTGTACCATTTCTCCACATTGTGCACCACCAGAATAAACCTCCTTCCTTTTGCACCAGCACCTGCCTCATGAGTTTGGTTTTTTGTGCCAACAGGTAGATAAATCTCTGTTTTTGTTTGATAACAATTTCCCAAACAGGCTTCTTTAGGGAAATATTGATTTCTGGATTGGACATCTTCACAGAAAGTTTTTTTGAATGTTGATGATTACTAATGTATATCAAAAGCTGTCAGAACCCAATTTTCAAGGGTGTCCACTTGCTAGAGAAGAGAAAATGTAAGAATCAAAACACTAATTATATTGTAATTAAACATATCAAATCCATCCTGATTTACAAATTTATGATGGATTTGATATGTTTAAAATTTGATTTACAAATCTCTATTTTTAGATTTATTTCTAAAAATAGTTACATTTTGAAAATGCCAGAGAACCAACACATTATTTTGAGAAATTATGTTTAACAGTCGCTATTGATTAGCAACTGTTTCTAACCAAAGAAGTTATATAAATTTTCTCATCACAAAAGTAACTAATATATTAAAAAGGATCATAGAAATATGATATTGCCTAATCTGAACAATAATCATCATGACTACTACAGAGAGAATTAGATATTTGCATCATCACAACTGTATATAATACCACCTATGAAGTAATAAGTAATAAGTCCCCCATTACCTCTCCCCCAGATTAAATCTGAATGTGTTCAACACTCAAATTTAATAAGCAATTTACAGTAAATGCAGGAGTTCAAAGAAGCAAGAAACACAGAGTATAGTGACTTAAAGGGTTAAACTGACAAAGCCCAGAAGGTAGGAATCTCTACAAAACAACAACAAAAAAAGCTTTTTTTTAATTAAAAAATGTTTAACATTTATATTTCAAAGAACCTTGCATAAAGGCAAGTATTATAGATTTTCATGGCTTCTTTATTCAGTTTTCTATCAAGCTAATAATAATTCATTTTCAAAACATCTCACATAACTAAACAACCTATACGCAACAAAGGTTACTTATAATTAAGAGAATAACAATCACTCTCAAATTATCAATGGAACCATGTTGATAAAGATTCAGATTTCCTGAACCTGAACACCTAGGCCAAAAATTAAGTCTAACAAGGCCAGACTTGTTAATATAGAAAAACTGATACCAAACAAATTGATACAGACAAATTGTTACCAAACAAAATGAAGGTTCAGCCGCCAGCTACAACAAAAATCAAACTACTGAGGCAAAAGAGAAGATGTTTTATTCAAGTGTTGCTCAATGTGGGATAATGATGGATTCCTGTCTAAAACACCACCTCATCTTCCTGCTCAAGCTCACAATTTTTATAATGGTAGGAAGGTGAGGGCTTTTTTTCCAAACAATAATCTTGCTACGTTTCGTATGCTCAGGGGCCAGTACATACTCTTTCTGGCTTTTGGCAGGCTCTCATCTCTAGCCATTCAACTTTCTACCTTTCCTTGTGCTTTTTAGCCCTGTGCACTAATATTTATAGCTTTCCAGCATACTAAGTCCCTGTCCATTCATCTTTCTAGCTTGTGGCATGTTCAGAGTAAGAACATCCCCCTGCTTCCATTTTGGCCAATAGGGGATAATCCATAGCATTCTGTCTACAGTTAGAAAGTAACCAAATACCAGAGACTTCCGCCAGGATGGAGGTGTAAGTGGAAATGCTGTGCCTTCTTGCACAACCAAGTTTAAAAACAACAAAGTTTTAGCAACAAAAATGCAGCTAAACCACAGAAAATTGAACTATATGGAAGTCTGATAGCAATGGACCATTCAGCCAAACCTGTAAGAGGGGCAGAGCCAGCAGCAGAGTGGGTTGGGCAGGAAAGATCCACCAGACCCAACCAGGCGCTTGACCCAGGCACAAGACCCAGGCACACAGGCAGCCGTGGGCAAATCCCAGGTGTGGAGTAGCAATAGGTGGACCCAGTGAAGGCTGACTGCAGTCACACATTCATACGCAGATAAACCAGCAAAGGAGAGAGCAGTGAGACAGATCATGCAGGCCTGAGCAGTGGGAAGGAGCAGAGGGCACTGCTATTGTCCCTCTCTGACCCCGCCCCACATACAGCATCCCAAACCAGCAACCTGGGTGCTCCCCCCAACCCCTGGTGAAGACCTAAGGCTCTGCTCCTCATACATAACAGGCACAAACAGAGCAATACATTATGGCTCAAGAAGAACTCAAAGCCCCAGAGCCCATAACTCTAAGCAATGAAGAAATAGCCGAACTTTCAAATGCACAGTTCAAAACACTGGTTATCAGATGATCACAGAACTGGTTGATTTTAGTCACAAATTAGAGGAATAAATGAAGGCTAACCTAGTCGAAATGAAGGGAAATGCACAGGCAACCAATAGTAATGGAAAGAAAACTGGGACTCAAATCAAGGGAGTGGACCAGAAGGAAGAAAAAATGACCAAACAGAAAAGGATGAAGAAACAAGAATTCAAAAAAATAAGGAGAGGCTTAGGAACCTCCAGGACATCTTTAAACGTTCCAACATCCAAAGTATAGGGACACCAGAAGGGGAAGAGAAACAGCCACAAGTGGAAAACTTATTTGAACAAATAATAAAGAAGAA